AAAAATAATAATAAAGGAACAGAAAAAAGAAAATAAATGAATAATAAAAAAACAAAGCATAAAAGTAAAAAGGAAGCTAGATCCTATTTCCCCTAGAGCTGAAGCTTTGCAGCACTCTATGATTAGTAGACTTGGTACCAGCCCGTTGTTTGTGCTGGTCTTCTGAGGGGAGGGGCCTGCTGGGCTGATTCTCAGGTGGCTGACCCTAGTGGAAATGGGCCTCCTGGGCGCAGGGGAGCAGGGCTTGGTGTAAGCGGACCAGCCTCCACTAGGTGGTGCATCTTGCTCCCTGAAGGCTTTCCGTGCTGATGGGCAGGATGAACATGGTGGCAACCCATGCACTAGCCCTGGAGCTGACGGTTCACAACCCTACTCTTCACTGAGCCTTCACGGAAGAGCAACCAATCACCCCTCATGTTCCCAGTTTCCATCAGAACCCTGCACTCACCCTGCCTGTATCCAAGCTTTTTTATCTCAGGCACATGACTTAGTTTCAAGACTCCAAATTTTAGGGACTCCCATGGCATTGACCCACACTGTTCCTCTGGGGGAGGGTCTCCCCACACTTTTGCAGTTTGCCGCCCATCCCAGGAAAGCAGTCTCACCACCGCACAGCAGTTCGCAGTTTATAGCAAAACTGAGCAGAAAGCCGGAACCAAGACCTGCTGCTCTCAGCCAGCATCCCCACTCCTCTGCCTGGGAACAGCACAGCACCTTGGCACCACCCATTCTTCTTGCAACCCAGGGAATCCTCAGACCACCCTGTCACTCTGCCCTGCTTCACCACCTGAGCACTTTTTAGCCAGGGACGTGCCCCACAGTAGTGGACTTCTAAAAGTTCAGATTTTGCACTCTGCTGCTTAAATACTTTGTGGCAACCTCTGAAAGCAGGGTCCCTCCCCGCCTCTGTACCCAGTTATATCTCCCCAAGTCAACTTTCCACACCTCCTACCTTCCAAAAGGTGGTCGCTTTTCTACTTGTAGACTTAAAGTTTTTGCTCTCTCAGACCTCAGACTGATTTCTTGGGTGTTCAGAATGATTTGATAACTAGCTGTGTTCAAGGGACAAGACAAGCCCCTATTCCTCTACCATCTTAACTCTTCCCTGCCAGGAGGCAAGATTTTTAGAGGAACAAGCATGTGCCACCAGAGGCTCTGGGGTGGGCACCCCTCCCCCCATACTGTCCAGATAAAGACAGGTAAACTGAATAAACACCTACTATGTGCCAGATACTGTGAGCAGGGCACAGATCAGTGACTGCGCCTTGTCTCCTAGTGGTTCAAAGTCACTTCAAAAGGAGAAAGAACCTGTTCAGGTCTATAAGAGATGATCAAAAAAATACAGGATAAGAATGAAAGCATTTACTGCAAGCTTTTTTGCTGAAAAGATAACAAAAACATGAACTCAATTAATGAATTTGCTGTTTACAAGTTTCAAGTTCAATATTCAGCTATGTGCTAACAGTATTTACAGTTAAACTTTTAGAAACAGAAAATCTACTTTAAGGTGATCGTTTCCCAACAAAAACAAAACTAAAAACCTTATATTGTTACCCTTAGTACTTCATTATTTCCAAAATCTTACTATACCCAGCTGGTCTCCGAGGCACACACATGCTTAGACAGTTTTACTATGGCTGGAGCACCACTGTCCACTCCAAGTGGGCCCAACACGTCCTACATCATCTGAGCACGTAGGGCCCCTATATCATCCTTGTTCTAAAGCCTGTCAGTGCCACAGACAGACCACATGATGCAAGGCAGGCCAGCTGGAAGAGCAGCAGAATGGTATGGTTTTGTTCTATATGGTCTTGTCTTACATGTGGAGGTCGAGGGGCAAGGGAGGAGGGGGAGACGTCACAGACCCTTTGGTGCCACTCTCCACACATGGGCCAAAAACCTTTTTCTGGGAAGGGCCAGAGGATAAATCGTTTCGTTTTTATGGACTACAAGGTCCAGTTTTAACTGTTCACCTCTGCCATCCAAATACAAAACCTGCGACAGACATTACTGAATGGATGGGCAGAACTATGTTCCAGTAAAACTTGGTTACAAAAGTAGAAGGCAAGCCAGCCCCTAAGCCATGGTTTGCCAAGCCCTGTTCCACAGGAAGCTTGTTTCCTGCTTTAAGCTATGGTCTACACCTCTTCTCTCCAGCTGGAGAGTGGGTGCCCTGCTGCAGGAAGACAATGTACAAGTATACAGTGTGACCAATGAATAGGACTGAACTTCTGACAGGTCTGGTAACTGAGACTGGCCCCTTTTCCTCTCCCTACCTGCTCTTTATAGAGTGTGAGCTTCCAGATGAGGAAATATACCCTACTAGGAGCTATGACTACCAAATGGTCTGACTGCCAAAGTGCACCAAAGCAGCGCACGGGAGGAATCCTGAAACTGATTCAAGGAAGCAATGCCTGGTCTTACCAATCAGTAGTCCTGTGCCCTATGTGACCCACAGCCTTACCCACTGTCTATGACTACAGCCTAAGGACTAGGAAAGAAAGAAGGTGAGGTTCTCCAGGGCATCACAACCTCCAAACACACAGCCCCACCCATCACCTCTCCTCCAATGAAAGAAGGAACTGCCACCTGCCCAAAGGCCCAGCTGCTAGTACCCACCAGAAAAGAAATAAAAGAAAACCCGCCCAGGAAAAGAAGAGCAAGAAGGGAAAGGGCAGAGAGGGATACTGTGTGAAGACATCCAGAAGTCCCATTCAGAGGCTGTCTCCTTCCTGAAACTTTACCCAGATCCTGCCTGATGGCTCACTCCTCTGATTTCCTACCACCCCAAGGTCCCCTCGGAGATTACAATCCTTACTGCTGCAGGTTACTGGTAGCCCTCCCTAGCAAACCTGGAGGTCCTTGAGGGAGGCCTCATTCATTCACTCAACAATTTAATGAGCAGCTTGTCAGGCACTAAGGTTACAAAGACTCATAAAACAGACAAACCTCACCACCACCAATACTGATAATTAATTGCAGAGGGAGCAACATCTGGGGACATGCCTATGTGCTAAAGCAGCCAAGAGTGGGCAGGAGGAGGGCGGGAGCAGGGGAGCTCTACCGGGTAACAGAGCCTAAAGAGTTACTGTGAAGTCTCTGAACTGTGCTCTGAGGGTACCTCTTGAAAGATCTGGAGCAGAGGAATGACAATATCTGATTGCTGTCTGCTGCCCTGTAGAGAACTGGCTCTAAGGCAGTGTTATGGGCTGAATCACATCCTCCAAAAAGATAAGTGCACATCCTAACCCCTACACCTGTGAATGTAACTTTTTTTTTTTTAAGAAATAGGGTCTCTGCAGATGTAATTAAGCTGGAATTTAAGATGAGGTCATAATGGAATAGGGTGGTCCCTTAATTTATTATGACTGGTGTCTTTACAAGTAAAGACACAGAGAAAGACACACAGAAAAGGCCAGTGACATTGAGTGATGCTGCAAGCCAAGGAATGCCAAGGACTTCCAGCAACACCAGCTGATGGGAGAGGCATGGGAACATTTCTCCCTCAGAGCGGGCAGGGGCGAGGGGGAGGGCGGAGAGGGCTGGCGAACGCGGCCCTCCTTCCTCCAGAAGGACCAGACCTGCCGACACCTTGATTTCAGACATCTGGCCTTCTGAACTGTGAGAGAATAAATCTTAGTTGGTTTAAGCCACCCAGCTTGTGGCATTTTGCCACAAGCATCTCTAAGAAATTAACACAGGCAGCAAAGGGGGGAATGAGGCAAGGAAAAGGAGATGCTGCAGGTTTGGCCCAGGGTGGCAGGCCTGAAAGGAGGTGATGGGTGTGTAGAGGCCGCTTTGAGGCAACCAACTTGGACAGTGGAAACCTGAGTACAGTAGAAGGACCCACAGTGCCCTCCAACCCCTTAGCTGAATACAAACAGGCCCATTAGGCGACCCACCTAAGCCCTAGCTAACCAATGGGTTACTTACACCCCAAAACGGGTACCAAAAAAAGGAGGAACATTCCATATGTTCCCATACCTCCTCACCTTCCCCCTTATCTACAGTTCCCCAACACTGCCTCCTGGCAGTCTCTCCCATGCTGTCCTTCCCGCTGTGCATTCAATAACCTTCTGTCTCCTTTGTTCTGTCTTGGGTGAATTCTTTCACTGACCCTGCCAACGGCCTCCACCTCATGGGGTCGCCCCACATGCTGGTTGGATTCCCCCCATGTTCTGATGGACCGCAGTGCCTACAGATTCACTGACACTCCCATGTGGAGAGTGGAAGACAGAGTAATCAAAGTTTGAATGGAGTTTCCACAACAGAGATGGGATGGCTGTGAAAGATGCAGGTCTGCGGGAAGAGGTTAAGAGTTCGGTCTTAAATATGTCTAGCGTGAGATGCCTATTAAACTTTCAGGCGGGAACACAGGAGTCCAAAATTCAGGAAAGAGGTCTGTACTAGAAACAAGGAAAATTCAGTGTGGCCAATACAGGGAAGGTATGAAAACTAAGAGGTGGATGCCATCCCCCAGGGCAGGAGTGTGACCAGAAACCCAGAGGTCCCACGATAGAGCCCCACTGAATATCCAACTACAGGGAGGGGCTAGGAGAGCCAGCAGTGGGGCGCCCGCCTTAAAGGTAGAGGAGGTGGGGAGAGGCGGGGCTCGCCTGGGGGCCCACGCGCCGGCCGGACCGCACCCCGTTCCCCTCGGGTGGTGCAGGTCCGGACTGGACCCCGGTTCCCTAAGACACCACAGCAAGAGTTCCGGGGAGCCCCCAGGCCCCTGGGCCCAGGAAAGACCTGAGGGCCACGCGCACGCACCTAGGGGGCCGGAACCCCCTCTGGTACCCCACTTGCGCCGGGACGCTCGGTTACCCTCAGTCCCAGCCCCCGCCCCCACACCGGCCCGCTCCCTTGGGCCTCCACCCCCCACGCCTGCCCGGCCTCCCCCGCCGCGCCCCCCGTCCTCTCCCCCCACCTCAGCCCCGGGCCCCCTTCAGGACCTCCCCGACCGCGTTCGCCGGCCCTCTCCGCCCCCGACCTGCACTCACGTAGCGGTTGCACATGGCCACGGCGAGGTTGCGCAGGTGCGGCGTGGCTCCCACCCACAGGAAGAGCGAGTCCGTCAGCCGCATGACATGGAAGTGGACGAGCTGCTCCCACAGCCTCGCGCTGAAGTTGTGCAAGGAGACGTCCCCGCCCGCGGCGGCCCGCGGCCCCTCCATGCCGCCTGGCGGGCCCTGTCCCGCTAGCGCCGAGACTCCGGCTGCGCTGCCGGCGCGGAGCCTGGCCAGACCCAAGCAAGCGAGCGCCGAGAGGCCGAGCGCGCGCCTTCACTCTTGGTCCCGGGGCGCCGGCAGGGCGGGCCCGGGGAGGAGGAGGGGCTAGCCCGGGGCCGGGGCGGGGCCGGGGGCGGGGCGGGGCCGGGGCGGGTCCAGGAGTGGGCGGGGCCGGGCTTCTCGCTCTCGCGCCGTAGGCAGAGCGCAGACTGCGCGGTTCCCCCGCCTCTCCCAGCGCTGGGGTTTGCTGAGAACTTGCGGTCATCAGCGACAAGGGCAGGGCCGGCGTCAGGGGGCTAACCTCAGGGTGTCCAGGGCCGCCGGGCAGAACTCGCCCTCGCTTGTTCCCTCCCTCCTCCTTAGTGCTTGATAAGTAGCATTCATGTGCTGGCGCTAGCTGCAACGTCATCCCAGGGCGTGACTCGTAGCCCTTTGGAGACACTTTTTTTTTACTTTTTTATTGTTATGTTAATCACCATACATTACGTCATTAGTTTTTGACGTAGTGTTCCATGATTCATTGTTTGTGCATAACACCCAGTGCTCCATGCAGAACGTGCCCTCTTTAATACCCATCACCAGGCTAACCCATCCTCCCACCCCCCTCCCCTCTAGAACCCTCAGTTTGTTTCTCAGAGTCCATCGTCTCTCATGGTTCGTGGAGACGATCACTTTTTAATTAGTTCCTTAAGCGCTCCTAGCGCGGCCACCTCCCATCACCTCGTCTTTGGTTTGGTTTACCAAAATCCTCCTCCTCTAGGAGCCCTGTACCTTCAGGGAAGCCTTGAATGCAGCTACCTTTGAGAAAGGCGGCGATATTGGAAGAAAGCCTCCAAAAAGTGTGACCACTAAAGTTGGCAGGAAGGCACTCTTGGACGCAGACCCCCTGAGGTTTGCAATCACATACAAGCCAGGACCTTGGGCTGACTTGTAATCTTTGAGACTGTTTCCTCGTGGACAAAATAGAAATAAGAATAGGTACCTTTCAGAGGAGTGGAAAGGAGTAGGTGCCAGTGTGTGGGAAGCACGGTTAATGGTGGCCATTATAACTAAGGGATCCTTTAATCTGAGTCACTGTGGGACACTGCAGAGTTGAAATAAGGAAGCCTTCAATATCAGAGAGAATGTTTGAGGTAAGAGCAAGCAGGATCCATTTTGTCAGGTTCTCTTACAACAGACCGTTGGGTTTTATGTCAGAACTATCACAGTCCTACTTTTTAAAGCTCTAATAGGTCTCAGTAGACAAAATTTAAATGTAAAAGGTTACATTTGTAACCATGTAAAATGTAAAAGGTTTGTTCTGTTTGCTAATTATCAATGATTCAATACAATAGTTAACTTTCAGGTCAATATTTTTAACAGCTATATTCAGGTATAATTGACATACAATGACTACACATCTAAAGTGTATAAATGGATGTTTTGACACATGTATAACCCATGAAACCATGGCTACAATCAAGATAGTGAACATGGGGCGCCTGGGTGGCTCAGTTGGTTAAGCGACTGCCTTCAGCTCAGGTCATGATCCTGGAGTCCCGGGATCGAGTTCCGCATCGGGCTCCCTGCTCAGCGGGGGGATCTGCTTCTCCCTCTGACCCTCCCCCCTCTCATGCTCTCTCTATCTCAGTCTCTCTCTCAAATAAATAAATAAAATCTTAAAAAAAAAAAAAAGATAGTGAACATGTCCATTACCCCCAGAGGTTTCCTCAAGCCCTTTTATAACCTTTTCTGCTCCCCTCCCCAGGCACTAATATGCATTTTGTCACTTCAGCTTAGTTTGGATTTTCTAGAGTTTTAGATAAATGGAATCTTAGAGTATGTACAATTTTTTTGTCTGCCTTTTCACTCATCATAATTACTTTGAGATCCATCCATTGTTGTGTGTATCAATAGTTCACTCCTTTTTATTGCGGAGCGGTATTCCGTCATTCGGCCCCACCACTATTTGTTTATTCCTTCACATGTTGATGTTCATTTGGGCTGTTTCCAGTTTGGGGCTATTACACTAAAGCGGCTACGCCTATGCTTTCATCTCTGGTAGATAAACACCTAAGAGTAGAATGGTTGTATCATATGGCAGTTGTATGTGTAATTTCTTTTTTCTTTTTTAAGATTTTATTTATTTATTTATTTATTTATTTATTTGAGAGAGGGAGAGAGAAGAAGAGGGAAAAGGACAAGCAGACTCTGCACAGAGTGGGGAGCCCAAATGTGGGGCTCGATCCCAGGACCCTGAGATCATGACCTGAGCCAAAATCAAGGGTAGGACGCTTAACCAACTGAGCCACCCAGGTGCCCCTGTATGTATAACTTTTAAAGAACCTGATGAACTGTTTTCTGTAGCGATTATACCATTACATTCCCATCAGTGTATGGAGTTCTGTGTCCTCCCCATCCCCATCAAACAGCAAGGACCATGTCAACTACTTGATATGGTCAAGCTTGTTCATTTTAACCATTCTAAGCGGTGTGTAGTGGTATCTCATTGTGGTTTTAATTGGCATTTCCTTACTTACTAGGAAATCTCAAAAAGATTTTTTTTAATTAAAAAATTTTTTAAAAAAGAAGATAGCAGGAAGGGAAGAATGAAAGGGGGGAAATCGGAGTGGGAGACGAACCATGAGAGCCTATGGACTCTGAGAAACAAACTGAGGGTTCTAGAGGGGAGAGGGGTGGGGGAATGGGTTAGCCTGGTGATGGGTATTAAAGAGGGCACGTTCTGCATGGAGCACTGGGTGTTATACGCAAACAATGAATCATGGAACACTGCATCAAAAACTAATGATGTAATGTATGGTGATTAATGTAACATAATAAAAAAATAAATAAAAAATAAAAATAAAATTTAAAAAAGGAAATCTCAGGTCCTACTTAACGCCAACACAAAAACGAACTCAAAATTAGACCTAAACATAAAACTTAAAACTATAAAACTTCTAGAAGAAAACATAGGAGAAAATTTTTGTGATCTTTAATTAAATGAAGATTTCATAGATAAAACAGCAAGCTCCATAAAAAAACAAATTGATAAATGGGACCAATGGAGCAGATAACCTCACCACATTGCAACTCTAATACCTTCTCATTCTTCATCCCCTAGGAAACAAACAATTTTTAAAATGAGAATTTATATCTAAAGAATCCAGAAGAACTGTCTAGAAAAACTGAGGCAACTAGTTAACAGCATATTGCCTCACTGTCCTCTCCACACCCACTCAGCACAGCTTGAAGCGAACTCCTCGCTGCTCCTAGAGCTGGGCACTGAGCACTGCTGGGAAAACCACCTGACCAGCAGGCATGGCCCCAACAATCAGCTGCCCCACAAACACTACCCTGGACTCCCTTAGACTGTGTCCTCTCTCATTTACTCTCAGGACTATTCTCCTCAAGCCCTAACCCTATTCAAGCTCAAGTTCACCAGATAAGGTGCTTCTAATTTTACAAAGAAAACATAGATTATCTGGCTTGATTTCCCCAACACCTTGTTCCTCTACTCAAACCCTTATCTTCATCTGACCCCATTCCTACCACCTTCTCCTCCTCCCATTACCATGAGTTTCCCTTCCTCTTATTGAAGTTTAATCTATCCACCTGTGCTCAGACCCTGTCCTTCTCCACATCCTCAAGAGCCCCACTCTGTCAACTTCGGTGGCTTCTCCATAGACTCTGTGGTGGGCGCTGAGATGTGCCACCTAGATCCCCCTTCAAGAAAGGACTTGTCCCAGCCGCTGGAAATGCTGTTGGCAGACAGTCATCCACTGTCACCTCCCTTGGAGTCTGCACACCCTTCCCAGGGCAGCTCACATCCAGTGACTGATGGAGGCAGCTGTACAGAGGCCAAGCCATTTCGGCCCAACTGTGACGTGCCATTTTTGTTCCATAGTGCCCGTGGGTTCAACTGAGGCCAACTGCGAGAGTTTATTCACCCTACACCATCAGAAGAAACTGTGGTTGGTTGGGCGCCTGGGTGGCTCAGTCGTTAAGCGTCTGCCTTCAGCTCAGGTCATGATCCCAGGGTCCTGGGATCGAGCCCTGCATCGGGCTCCCTGCTCTGCGGGAAGCCTGCTTCTCCCTCTCCCATTCCCCCTGCTTGTATTCCCTCTCTCGCTGTGTCTCTCTCTGTCAAATAAATAAATAAAATCTTAAAAAAAAAAAAAAAAAAGACATAGCCAGGTCCCCTGCAACACCATATTAAGTATACGCCATATGACCATCCAGCCCCTCCCCCAAAAGACCAAAGGTCATTTAGTCAAGTAACACTATACTAGGGAAAAGGAAGACCCGAACATCTCAAGAGTCAGAGTTGGACTTGAGTGAGATACCGAGATCTGAAGTGTCATCACGGTCCTCCTGCTAAAATGGGGGCATATGGGAACTGGACAATACATACAGTCCTGGCTAAGGGTCCATGTGGTCTGCAGACCCATCCGGGATCATTTGCCTGGTCCCTGAATATATAACTGGGATAAGCATACTTGGAAGTTTGCACAATTCCCACAGTGGGTCCTTGGCCTGTGGGGTAAGAGCTCTCATAGTGGAGAAAGCTCTGTGAAAGCCGATGAAACTGTCCCTTCCCCAGCCAAGCAATACTGCACTGAGGGGAGGATGGTGGAATTTGGTGCCAGCCTTAGGGATCCAAAGGATGCAGTGGTGGTGGTCTTCATCGTAGTTCTCCTTCCGCAGCTGAATTCTGGAAGATGATAACAGACTACAACAAACTCAACCTAGGAGCAGTCCCAATTGCAGCTGATGTGGTATCCTTACTTATTTATTTATTTGACAGAGAGAGACACAGCGAGAGAGGGAACACAAGCAAGGGAGTGAGAGAGGGAGAAGCAGGCTTCCCACGGAGCAGGGAGCCCGATGCGGGGCTCCATCCCGGGCCCCCAGGACCCCAGGATCATGACCTGAGCTGAAGGCAAATGCTTAATGACTGAACCACCCGGGCACCCCTGATGTGGTATCTTTGAGAGAGCAGCATAATAAGGCCGCAGGGACATAGTATGTGGCCAACGATCTGGGAAATGCATTCTTTTCTATTCTAATCAGAAAAGAGGGGCAGAAACAGTTTGCATTTCCATGGGATGGACAACAAGATTCACACAGAGCTTTGCCCAGGACCATGTTCACGCTCCACCCTCTGTCAGGACGTCGTGAAGAGATCTAGGCTGTCCAGACATCCCACAGAACATCCCGCTGATGCGTTACAGCACCGTCACCTCCACTGCACCAGTGTTCTGTCTTTAGTTTGCACCTCTGGCTATATGGGGGATCCCACAGGAATGGCAACGAATGAGTTAAGAGCCTGAGCTGGGTTTCCGGATGGATCCGTGTAGGGGCGCAAGCTACACCCAGTACACTTGTGCTGTAGCCATACTCTGGCAGGGCGCCTGGCCAGCCACGTTGTGAGTCCACGTAGACTCATGAGCGGAGGGCCAGGCATTGACCAGGCTGATCAGGAAACTCTGGGGAGAAAGCCTGGAAGATAGAGGATAGGACAGGGCCGTCTGGGGAAGAGGCATGCGAAGAGTGTCCACCAAGTGTGAAGATCATTGGGCCACCTGTAATGACCCAGAGAGAACATGAGTAGACAGAATGACTCAACCAGTTGATGTTACCTGGCCCCTGTCTTCGGCCATCCCAGGGCTGGTACGATGAATGCGCCACGGACGAAAGAGCCATGGTAGGTTATGCAGGAGCCAACGGCACGGATTCCGCCTACCAAAGCTGTTCTTGCTGTTGCTGTCGCCAAACATCCTCCCTATCCACAGAGGCCCAGGCCGAGGCTGTCATGGCATCCCCATGGCACCAGTTCTCCTCAAGGAGAATGGACCGCTACCTCGCAAGCTGGTGATGTGGGGCTCTTCCCACCCAGAAGGGCCAGCAATCGGTTCGGATGGAATAGAACCACATTCCAGGTGTGGGCTTGCCCTTCCTGTCCGCAGAGCCTTCATGCCATTATCTGAGCGCTTACAGAGTGCGGGATCCTCCAGCATGGCATCGCACAGAATATCACGTGAGACGGCCAAAAAGGTGGGAAAGTGGGCCCAGAGCCATGGGAGCCACTGGCCACAGGACACCGTCTGTGCCACCCACAAGCTGCCCACTGAAGACCGAAATGCTCAGAGATGGTAATTTAGGAGGATGGAGAACCATCCCCCAAGACCCCTTATGTAGCTTGAACGAAAGGACTATATATGGTGCTGTGTTCCCAGCAGGAAGACCACATGAGTCAGGGATCCAAGAGGGGAAGCAGGAGCAGCCCCTCCTATCACTCCCCCAGCCGGGACAGGGGACTGGGCTTCCCAAAGCTGCACTTGTGGGCCTGCTTCCCAAAGGGAGAACACTTCCTCCAGGGGACACAGCAAGAGTTCTGCTCAGTAATTAGCTATGGCGGCCACTAGGCACTTTGGGCTCCTTGTGTCCAGAGCCCAACAACTCACAGAGGCGTCACCATCCTAGCAGGGGAATGCCACCCTCATCATAAGGGGGAGATGGGGCTGTTGTCCCCAGGTGGGGGCAGGGAGGAAAACGTCTGACACTCAGATGATCCACTTGGGTGCCCTGTGGTATGCCCTTGCTCAACTGTGACAGCAAATGGACCAAACTAGAACTCTGGCCTGAGGGAAGATCCTCCTTCCAGGAAAGAATTGTTGCCCAGTGGCTGGGACCATAGGGCCTTCAAGAGTCAACCCCTTTAGGGATGACCTCGGCAGCGGAGAGCTGCCGTGCCCCATGGTCTTTCCTGGGACGGGGGGTGGGGGCAGGAGGGCTCTCTGAGGGAGGCAAAGGAATAAAGATGCAGCCACTTTGGCCCCAAGCAGTCAACTCTGACAGCCATGTGAGCTCCAGAGCTCCCCACGGGGTCACTGGGGAGCTTTTCCTTCTCCCTCTGCCCACTCCTACCTCCTCTCACTAGGGGTGTTGATTCCAAGGGTACTCTCTAATAACATTTGCATACTAAACTTTCCGAAATTGCTTTCTGGCGAGCCCAGCCTGGGGCAGGCTCCCTCTGTAGCCTGTTCTCCTCTCACCTTATGTGTTCCCTGGGCAACTTCATCCACGGCCATGAATTCGCTTGCCACCTAATCCCAAAAGTATGCATGTACAGCCATTGTTGCTTTTCCTAGAGGCGAGCAGGCCCAACTGCCTGGGGCCATCACTTCCCAACTGTCCCCCGCGGCACCTGGCCCCTCGGTGTCCACACCCAATTTCATCATCTTTTCTACCCTCCCTCTCCTGGCACCCCCCCCCCCCCAGCACTTTCCTTCCTGTATTCCCTCCGTTGGTGAATGTTCCGCCACTCCCTGGGGTTCCCAAACCGAACTGAAGAATCTTCTCTATCACTGCCAACAGGGCTGCCCACGGCTGTGGCCACACGCCTCCCTCGTACCCTCCCCACCTGCACTTCGGGCCTGGGGCAGACCCTGCCCTTCCTTCTCTCGCCTGAACTCCTGCCCTGGCATTCTGGCTGGCTCTCTTGCTTCCTCCAGGGGGCCTTTCTCACTGCGGCCAGAAAGATCTATCGCATGAATACACCTGCTCTTGTTATTTCCTCCAACGAAAACATTCTTCAGGGATGTTTAGCCTCAACGCCTTTGCCGACATCCGAGGGCCCTGGCCCAGCTGCCAGTCTGCCCATGTCTGTCCCTTCGCCCGCCTGCTGCTTTACGCTCTGGGGAGAGATACGGACCTCCACGAGGCGCCCAGAAGCCCCCACCTCTGCTCCCCCTGTGCATCGCTCTACTTGCTGCCCCCAGCCTGGGCCTGCCCCTGACTTACCTGCTGGAGGAACCCCTCGACCCGAAGTTAGCCCCAGTAGCACCTCTTGGGGAAGCCTTCACAGTTTCTCCACAGCTTCTCCTGGCCCTTCATCTTTACCTCCCACAGAGCACTCATTTTCTGTGATGGCCTGTTTGCATGCTCATCGTCCTTCTCGGGAAGCTTCTTGAGGGCAGCTACCGGGTCTCCCAGCTTCAGTGCCCTGCCCAGCACCACCTAGTAGGCACCAAACAAATATTGACTGGATGGTTGAGGGAGTAAATGAATACATGCTGGAAGAATAATACAAGGGCCTCCTCGGGGCCTTCGGCTCTAGGCCTGGCTCCACCACTAATTAGCTCTATGCCTCTCTTCTAGGTCTCTGTTACCTTAGCTGTAAACTGAGAAGATTGGCTTAGACGATCTCTAAGGCGCCTTCCAGGGCTAATGCCCTCTGAAGAAGATCAGATAAGAATGCAGAATGGTAACAAGATCCCCGGGGCCTCTGGCCCTGAGCCGGAGGCTGCAATTCTTCGGGGAACCACTAGGTGGCAGGTGGGAAGGAAGCGGGCTGACTGCTGTGTAGCTTTCGCTTTTAGAAAGCAAGGGTAAGTCACTGGGTTCCCACTCTTTGTGACTCAGGAGCTCTGTCGGGGGCAGTCTTTTCTCCAGGCCCTACAATATAGAATGCTGAGATGAAACAGCAGGTCCTGTTTCTCAGGTAGGCCACAGTCCACAAACACAAAAGCACCCAGCCGCACACCACAGAAGAGGCTGGCCCTCCCAGGGGTCTGCTTGACAACAGGGCAAGAGGGGCATTGGTGCTTTGATTCATCCCTCTCCTCTTTCTGCCACCAATTTGGGTTGTGAGACTTTTATCTGGCATGCATTTCAGTAGGAACCAAGAATTACAGGATTTTTTAGATGATAGATAAGAAAACTGCTCTGTGGGGAGGATACCGGTTACCTCCCTTCCAGGTGAAGAAAGATGAGGCATGGAATGGCAATGCATGCCATCTGAAGATAGAGCTGCCCCGGGCATGTTCACAGTGCAATCAATGAGTCATAAGAACATCCAGGATGTTTTCAGCATCACAGGACTCTCTCATGAGATCCTTGGGCATTTAATCCAAACCAAACCCAAACTCCCTCATATGCCGTGATTGGTGATGTGGGGCTTGGTTTCATAATAGGCTAGGTTATGCTTTAGTGACATTTTAATCCTGCAAGGGCATTGGCATTGGGGGCGTAGGAGGTAAGGTGGGAGGACTCTGCTCCGTATAGTCCTTCAGGGACCCAGACCACACCTCGGGTCACAACAGCAAAAGAGGGATCTGTGCAGTTGGATCAGGCCCCTTGATGCTCTGACCTAGAAGTGACACCTCAAATGTTCTTGTGGCCAACAGCCAGAAACTGTCACCTGTTGCTGCCTCCCTGCAGCAGGTGGGAGGGGTTGTGTGCAAAATGTGAAGCAGACAGGACATCTGACGAGCACCAAATGTCCCAGTTGTAGAGGCCACTTTTAGGCAACAGGCTCAAGCAATGAAAACTTGAGCAAGGCAAAAGGACCCACAGTGACTCCCGAGCTGACGCAAACGGGCTCATTGAGTGACCCACCTTGAAATGGCCAGAGTCCCTAACCGACCAATGGGCTACTTACGACCAGGCACAGTTACCAAAAAAAGGAAAATTCCATAGGTTCCCATACTCTTCACCCCACCCCATAACTATAGCCTCCCCCCCCAGCCACCTCCTGGCAGATGGTCTCTCCTTTGCCGTCCTGCCCGCTATCCCTTGCAGTGTATTCAAAAAACTTCTATCTCTTTGATCTGCCTTGGGTGAATTCTTTCACCACCCGTGCCAATCAGAATGCCCCACACCTGCCACAGTGGCAAAATGTGTATATACATATATATATTATTTACTGAGAGTTATTATATCTGCCGATCAGTGTTCATCCAAATTCTCCACTGAGGAGCCCCAGTGGCCTGGGGTCAAGAGGTGAAACCCAAAGCCGTGTTCACCACCCCAACTGGCCTTTCTCTAATCTACAGAGCATAGAATAATTCACATTCTGTTCAAAATCTGTTCCTCCCACCAAACCCAACAAACTCTCTACAGCTGAACCCATTAAGTCCGCTTCTGTTCTAGTTACTACAGATGAACCTTCCGTTGCCACCCGAAGCTAACCCTCCACCGGTGTCCCCCTTCTTCCTCACCTTCTCAAGGACAGCACGTGAGCGATTCGTACCTCTCTCTCTTCCATCGTGGATTTTCTCCTCTGCGCTAGACTATTTTCATCGGCATACAGACATGATCTTACAAAATATCTTCCTTTGTCTCACATCATTCTGATTCGCTCCCCTTGTCTCTGGCCCTCTACAGCAAAACCCCAGGGAAAGGCTTCCACGGTTATCTCCAGATCCTCTTTTCCCTTTCTCTCCTGGCCTCACTCCTACCAGGCTGCCCTCTTTCCATGACACTGCTCTTGCTAAGGCCACTGAAGATCTCTAGGTGTCAAGGCCTGGAGCCTCAATCAATCTCTTCCTTGTGCTGGGGGGGGCCCCTCCTCCCAGCGCCTCTGCTGGATCTCACTCATAGTCCCAGCCTCCCCCGTGGAAGTGCCCCAGTGACACTTGTCTCCTCCAGCTGCTGTCCCTGTAAGGTACCTTCGACACACTGAGGCCTCCCACATTTGTGTCTCTGAGCTTTCCTGAGCTCCAGCCCTGTATTAGAGTCAGCTGTCTACCCAGCACCCCCGTTTGAACGTGTGTTGGAAACTCAACAAGGGTGCCCCACAAAGACTGCCTTTCCCACCATCCTCCTCATCTTAGAAAGTGGCACCTGCGTTCTTCTAGGCAGTCAGGCCCCAAACCTTGGCATCCTCCCTGACCCTTCTCCTCCTCTCTCAGCTCACATCCCATTCATCAGCAAACCCTGCTGGCTCTGTCCAGACTCTGACTGCGGCCAACCCCTCCACCTCGACTCTCCTCTGGACTCCTGTGCGAACCTAAATGGTCTCCCTGCCTCTGCCCTCATCCCCTTACCATCGTTCTCCACATAACAGTCAGAATGATTCTTTCAAAGCAGTCTTCCTCTTACCTCATTTTTGAAATAGGAGGATTAGGTTGTCATACCAAAATTGTCTAATACGAGCAATCTGTTTCCAAGGAAGATTTCGAGAATGTTAGACTTCCTTGGTGCTATAAGAACCATTCGTATTTTTTAAAATGTCCCCTATCATACCTTGAATCCCCCCAAAGACCAGTATTTTCAAGCATATCCACCTCTTTCCTGCCCCCCACCCTGTCCCGGCCTCCTCCACCCCCGCTTCCCCCCTCCGCCCCCGCCCACACTCCTCACAAGTGCAGACAAAATATTTTTGCTGGCAAAGCTGTCACACAGAAGAAAAACCCCTGCCCAAGTTCTAATGTCATCAGGCTCTGGCACAAAAGGAAAATAAGTTAAATCCTATCACTTTGTTTCAGAAGGGGGAAAAAGCTCCAAGTGGATGAGAAACAAGTTGAACGGAGTCACTGTTAGTCACAGGCATTATCAACCACGAAGAGATTTTTATAAGTCTTTGAAAAATGTCCATATAGCTGCCTTAAGCAACTAAGCTTCCATACAGCTCTGCCTTACCCAGAGGACGGCTGGTAAGTTAACTCAGCCTCCGCCATTAGACTAGGCAGCCCCACCAAGGGCCCCGGAGGGAGCCGCCCCCTTCTTCCTGCCACCCGACTCCACAGGAGCCCAAATTCTCCTCTCCTACAGTGCCAGGGCAGATCTGGCTCTGGATCAACCACGAGTGGTGAATAAAAAGTTTCCTCCCTCATCAAGCTAGGCCAAGGGAGCAGTCTACATGCATCCCCACTTGTTTCAGGGAAGGAAACACACAGAAGCTTCAGGAGAGCAAAGCAGGAAAGGAGCTTCCAACAGGAAGCCGTTGGGCAGCCCCAAGGCATGGCAGTTCGTCTTCGCCTTACTGACTTCTGCTTCTTTCAGCAGCGTTGACAATACGCTGAGCTCTGAGCAATAGAGTATTTCATCTTGATCTCCAGGCACAGACAGACTGTTGCAGAGACGAGGTGATAATTAACAATGGCGGGCAGGGCACAGACCGGCCAGTGAGGGGTTGAGGCACCAAGTACTCACGGGTCATGAGCTTGAGGAGGGCTGGGTCAGGCTGGACAGGTCGTCAGGACCTGAGCAAGGGCATGGGGGATGCCAGTCAGGCTGAGAGAAGAGAAGAGGGCGTGCTGGGGCCAAGGGAGAGACAGATGTGGGCAGAGCCGTGGGCAGCACGTGTCCTGGGAAGTAGAAGAGCAATGGCACACATTTGAAGACCCTCCTGTCTCAGTTGAACCTCACAAAAGTCCTAGAAAGTAGGTATCATGATTCCCAAGGAAGTGAACACTCGGGGAATAGATGAGGTGCTCAGAGGTACACAGGGCCTGTGGTGGAGCTGGGCCTTGGATCCTGCACCCGCCCGGAAATCCTCTCTCTCCAGCCTGATCTGAGGAAGCTGAAGATGAAAGGGGGGGCTGGGAGGTACAGAGTGCCAGGCCAAGGAGCCCGGATTGAAGGGAATGCATAGGTTTCCAGACAAGAGGCCTCCCCACATCAGCTCCCAGGGGCTGTTCATCCACCACAAGCCCTGAAGATGGACAGTGGCCCCGGGGCCATGTCACTGACCCCAGCGAGACTTGTATTCTGTCCTTTTGCTCTAGCTGTCTTATCCACTATCCTGGAATTCTCCCACACAACCCTAATTTTTTTTTTTAAAGATTTTTTACTTATTTATTTGACAGAGAGAGACACAGCAAGAGAAGAAGCAGGGGGAGTGGGAGAGGGAGAAGCAGGCTTCCAGCTGAGCAGGGAGCCCGATGTGGGGCTCGATCCCAGGACCCTGGGATCATGACCTGAGCCGAAGGCAGGCACTTAACGACTGAGCCACCCAGGCGCCCCAACCCTAATTTTTAATATTTCAAGTAAGTGTAGGCTTCTAGATGATTTTATCTTGTGACTTGATGCTTTTTAGATGAGCAAACTCACACATAGGGAGGGATCCTTACCATGGACAGCATGTAACCTTATTTGAGTGGGGAGACATGTGATCGTCCATATGTGCGACTGTGTTGGGAGATCACTTTCAGACTCTGGAACACATGTAGGGTTAACAAGACATAATAAGACTCAGCAAGAAGCAGAGACAGCTCTGCTATCACAGGGAAGGCAGAATTATATCCCTAGTCCAAATCAGTGCCGAGTGAAAGACCATGCTGGCTGCTGGGTGAATCTTCTGATGCTTTATTAAAATCCTTGGCCTGACTTCAGAGCCTTGTGCCAGAGATAAGCAATCATGGAGGATGGCAGAACAAAAGACCGTTTCTCTCCATCTCTCTTTCTCTCCCCTCCCGCACCCTGGTCCCCGGTCCCCCTCCCTCCTGCAGAAACAGGTCATGTGATGCTGAGGCAGAGATCTTTCTGCAGAGTCCCTGTGGATGGGAGGGGCAGGTGGGCTGGCTGTTCAGCACACTGTGGGGTTTTTTCCGAGAATGTGGAAAGCATTTCCCCGCATTGGTGCCAGGACACTGCATGAGTCATGGTCTGTCTGCCAGCCCGGTCACTCAGCCCTTCTGATTCCTCACACATGGCCCTTTGAGTCCCAATGGACTCGAAACATCCACCCAGTCTGTAGATGGTTCTATTCTTGGCACAAAGGAGATCGCCCTTGCAGAGAATATGGCTGCCCTGGAGGGCCCATTTCTGCGCTTGCTTTTTCTTCTTGGCTCAGAAAACAAGCACAGCTCCCCAATACATAAAGA